CTCTCTGAAACTGTAAGCCTCAAATGAACTCTTTCTTTTATAATTGCTTTGGTCATGGTGTTGTGTCACAGCAACAGAAAAGAAACTGAGACAGCGTCTTTCATTTTCCTATTTCAGTATTCTTACTCTGAGCCAAAAAGTGTTCCAGGTCCCGAGGAGACAGCAGTAAACAGGAAAACGAGCCTCGTTTTCCAGTGGAAACTAAATTATAATATTATGTACACTCTCTAGGATGCAAAAAGCATGTTAAAGGGCTAGAAAATAATTTTGGGGGCTGAGGTGGTATGACTTTAGAGGGAAGTCAGGAAACCTGGTTGAGATTTCACAATGGACAATGTGAGTCATTTTTGTCACCTGGGAAATGCTCACCAGGCAGGAGAAAGGAGGCAAGACCACACTGGCTGAGGAGGAACAAGACCAAATCCCCACTGACTCCCAGGCCTTTGACAGGGTTCCAGGCAGGCATGGAGGGGGTAGTTTTCCATTTTTAGAATCAGTCCTGTACTCCTGATCCACATGGCACTGACTCCTGTCTTTCTAGCTCCATGGTGGGAGGGGAGAACTAAGTCCCTCAAGCTGTTTGATCTCTGACTTCCACGTACACACTGTGGTACGGGTGCCCTCCCTCCCATATGCAAATAAGTCAATGTATTTTTTTTTTTTTTTTTTTTTTTTGGTTTTTTTTTCGAGACAGGGTTTCTCTGTGTAGCTTTGCGCCTTTTCCTGGAACTCACTTGGTAGCCCAGGCTGGCCTCGAACTCACAGAGATCCGCCTGGCTCTGCCTCCCGAGTGCTGGGATTAAAGGCGTGCGCCACCACCGCCCGGCAAGTCAATGTATTTTAAAATGCAGGGAGGTATAATTTTAAATACAATGAGCGTATCAAATCTGTGGACATCCTGGGTATAGTGGTGCACGTGTATAATGGCAGTATTCTGAGGCGAAGGGTCATGAGTCTGAAGCCAGATCAAGCTACTCAAGAGAGTCTGTCTCAAAAAAAGGTGGAACGTAGTTAAAACAGTGCCATGTGGAAAAAATACAGCATTAATATAGTACATCTGTCAGAAAGGAGAATCTGATCAATAATAGAAAATCTTTGGAGTGTAGCTTAGAGATCTAATGCTTCATAGAAGCAGCACCCAGCCTGACCTCCAGTACCAAAAACAAACATTAAATAAAGTAATATGGAACTCTCTTTGGTTTTTAATCGTATGTTAGAAATTAAGGCACACACATACAAATAAACGTAATTTTCTAAAAACTAAAGGAAGATGAATTGATTATCAGGCTGCAGCAAGTCAGTTTTCCCTGGGAAGCAGTCACATCATGTACTCACGGTGACAGCTGCAGTTCCTCCCTCACAGTGGGAAGCACAGGTGGCCAGATGAGCTCTCTCAGAGCCTACTCAACAGCCATCCACCTGCCTCAGAAACAGACCAGACACCAGCTCCAGACCCTGCGCTGGTGGCTTTGCTTCTGACTACTCGGCATCTTCCTCCCCTGCCCAAGTCTGAACTCCTCCCCTCCAAACACCCACCCTCCCACCATCTTCCCCACCAAGTTAGAGAAACACTGGCCTACGTGCTCCAGGTCAAAGCTCTCTGAAGCGGCCTTGAGTCTTAACACAGGATGTTCTGTTCATCAGCTCCACATCAGACTGCACTCCAAAGCTGGACTCTTTTTGCTTTTGTGGCTTCAGCTGTCAAGGACACTGTCGCTGTCCTCTGACTCCTGAATGGTCTCTCTGCTTGCAGATGCCTTAACCTCAACACTCTATCACCAACAAAACAGCCTAAAATGATCCTATTAGTCAGACCACATAAATGTTTGAAACCATAGTAAATTATCTAATAAATCAGATCTTGAGTGCATCTACTCAACCACCTGACCCTGAAGGCCAAAGGCTCGCTAATATTCACAGAATGAAGCCCAAAGTCCTTTAAACGGACTGTTCAATCTGCACTCTGCCACATCTGTAGCCATACCTAACACTCTCCCCTCATGTACTGCCTATGTTGCCTTCCTTACTATTCCTCAGAGGAGCCAAAACCCCCCATCTCAAGTCTTGCACTGGCTAGTCTTACCTACTTGGGGGTTTTTGTTTTGTTTTGTTTGTCTGTTTTTGAGACAGGTTTTAACTCTAGTCCATACTGTTCAAACCCACTAGGGGACCTAGATGGGCCTCAAACACTCAATGATTCTACTACCTCAACTACTAAATGTAGGAATGCAGGAGAACATCAGCACACTGGGCTTTCACTTGCTCTCTTAAGTATTTCCCTTAAGTAATTTCACCTTTCCTGTTGAAGAGCCATTCCAAATCCGTTTATTAAAATTACAGCTCCAGGGCTGGAGAGATGGCTCAGCAGTTACGAGCACTGGCTGCTCTTCCAGAGAAGCCAGGCACCCACATGGTAGCTCACAACCATCTTTAACTCCAGTCCAGGGCATCTGCGAGCTTTCTTCTGTCCTCTGAAGGCATTAGGCGTGCAAGCGGTGCACAGACAGACATACAGATGGGCAAAGCACCCATACACATAAAATAAAGTAGAATTAAAAAGAATTAGCGTCAGCAATGACTCTATTATCTCTCCTTTCCACTTCTGTTTCCTCCACAGCTATTATAACAGTCCAGCATGTTACATATCTTAATAATTTATCTTCCCAAATAGAGTATAAAGAATGGATATGACTTTATTTTTTTCACTGTCTGGAGTACAGAATAATGCCCAACACATAAACAAGAAGTAATGAATGAGGTGGAATTTAAGTGTAAAGTAACAAAAAGCTGAAAGGAAACACCTGCAATGTTAATGTTCACGTAGTATTAAAACTGTGTATTGCTACTAATGTATCCAGTGTGGGCTGCAGATGTAGAGATGAGAAGCAGTAACAGGAGCATGTCTCCCATGTGTTACATCCTTGGTTCCATCCACAGACCCCCACAACATACACAAAATACATTGGGATGCAGCTCCCTGGTAGACTACTTACCTAGCATGAACAAGGCCCTGAGTTTTATGTCCAGCACCACAATAAATAAATAAACTTATTCACAATTCATTGATTTGCATATGCCAATGTAACTTTACAGAATTATCACAGCGTAGAATATGCTCTTTTGCAGAGTATTTACTTCCAAGTTTTATAACCTAAACTATAAGTACCTTGTTTAAGGCATGCCCAACATGAGGGTCACCATTTGCATAAGGAGGTCCATCATGAAGACAAAATTCCGTCTTTACTTTTCTTTCTCTTTGCCAGGAATAAAGCTCTGTAAACCCACATTTCTGTTAAAAAAAAAAAAAAAGCCAATGTTTACATATCACATAAATACATGCTGTGGAATCTTATTAATCCTCAGTTATTACTTATCCCATTCCAACTCTTTCAACTCAGAAATATAACTGGAAACATTCCTGAAAGGAACCAGTATTAAACAGTCAGCAGTCTTCCCTGCCCTCAACAATACTTCAGATTAAAATCTAAACTTTTACGTGGCAGAAGGGCTAAATTCTTGGCAAGCCTATCAATATCCACTGCCTCAATCCTGCCCTGCTGAAAGACCTGTCCATCCCCAGTCCTCTCTACCACCCAAAACACACTGGTAATTTATTCTTGTTATTCTTTGGCCTCAATACTTCCCTAAATCCAAAGAATATCCAAGCTAACTTTATTCACTTAAGCAGTATTCCTAGTGACCAGGAATATTTTAAAGACTCTAATGTTATACTAACTAACACGTGAGTCTCGGCCAAACTGAGTATGCTATAGAAGACAAATACACAGTCTACAAGGGAACTCAAGGACTGCTACTTTGTCCTGCAAAGGAGTCATAATTCCAGCGAAAGGCCTAGACATGTAACTAAGGTGGGCTTCAACTTCCGTTCTTTGCGAAAACTTGAATTATTTTTTAAAGACTTAGTTTTTATTTTTAATTATTTGTGAGCGGTGCATCTGAGCAGGTGCCGGCGGAGGTCAGAGGCATTGGCTCTCCTGGAGCTGGAGTTACAGGTGGTGTGAACCTGCCACACTAGTGTGCGTGGAAACGAACTCAGATCCTCAGCAAGAGCAGCAAGCGCCGCCATCTATCCAGCCCACACTTGAACTTTTATTTACATGCTGGTTACTTTCTGACAACTAAGACAGGAAGAGTGTGCAAAGCCGACTCGCTTGGTGCTGAAATTGGAAGGTGCACTGCTTGGCATTGGGCTTCGCTTTGGAACCCGCCCCCCTAGGGCCCGTCTGGGAACCCCAGCGGCCCGGAGCGTTCCGCAGAGCTGGCCCACCCCACCCTGCCCGGGTGGCCGCGCCCGGTACCTGCTGGATCTCCAGCTCCATGTCGGGCTGCTGGCGGCCCAGCAGCTTCATCGGGAAGCTGGTCTGCGGCAGCAGCACCGTGTCCCGGTATCTGCCGCTGTTCGGGCTGCTCTGGGGGCTATCCGCCCCTGCCACTGACCGCACCACCAGCCTCCTCGGCATTCCCAGACACCCGAGGCGGCCGGGAAAGCGGGCTGGCCTCCATAAGCTCCCGGCAGCGGCCAGCGCCGCCGCCCCAGGCCTGTGAGGGCGCAGCCCCCAACGCATGGTGGGCGCCACAAGCGGCCGCCTCCGCACGCAGCCCGCGGCAGCGGCCCGGGACCTAAACGCCGGGACCCTCGAAGAACCCAGTTGCGTGGAAGTGCGCACGCGCTCGGGAGCGGAAGGGGCGGGGCACAGGCAAAAGGAGGCGGGGTTAGGGCGGGGCTTCCGGGTTGGAGGTCTGCGCCACACCGGGTCTTCCCCGAGGTCACGCAAGGGTAGAGAGACGGGGGACCGAGATTGTTTGGTTCTCCCTAATCAAACACTTTAGTTAAGCAACTTGTCCAGGGTCGTAAACATACGAAGCAGCGGGACTAACGCCGTGCGGTGGTGGCGCAGGCATTTAATCCCAGCATTTGGGAAGCAGAGGTCGGCAGATTTACGAGTTCCAGGACAGCATGATCTAGAGCGTGAGTTCCAGGACAGCCAGGGCTACACATGTTCACAGCTGTTATTTTGCCATTCCTGTTCTACACTTTAAAAAAAAAATGTATAAAAAGTTGCTGCAAATCAAGATAAAGTAGAAAAAAGGTAAACAAGCAAACAGCCAATGACTATAAAAAGATGCTCAAGTTGGGAGCCAGGAGGACAGACAGTCATCTCAAAGTACAAACATGAAGAAGTTTGGTAACAAGAATTGGGAGAATTTGAAAGTAGACTGCTGGATGTACTGTTCCGGTGTGTAATGCCTTTTCTTCTATTTCCATGTGTATGTGTGGTATGCACGTGTGCATGTGTGCATGTGGAGGTCCTAGACTGATGTTGGGACTCATCTTCCATAGTTCTTGCACCTTATTCATGGAATCGGGGTCTTTCAATCAAACCCAGAGCTCACTCACCCATGTGGTGTCTCACTAACCAGCCGGCTCTAGGGATGCAAGGCTTCTCCAGCTGGAATTACACCAGCATTTAAGTGTTTTGAGAGTCCTCGTGTTTGCACCGCCATCAAATGAATACACGTCATCTCTGAAGTGCATTTTCCCATCCGGGAGCCTGACAGCCGCGCGAAGATTCATACACTCGGCCCCCACCCCGCCACACACACACACACACACACACACACACACACACACCCTCTACAGAACAACTTGCCGCAAGGCAGAGCGCCTGTGGACTCTGCATTCCACTATATGCATGATAGGTTTTATTTGTGCTTATTTATGGCAGTTGTTATAAAATTACCATGTATTTACAAAAGCCAATACGTGAGTTTGTATTTTTTCTAGATTTATTTATTTTATGTGTATGACACTTTGCATGTATTTATGTGCACCGTGTGTGCCTGGTGCTCACAGTGTGGGGTACCCTGGAACTAGAGTTTTAGATGGTTGTGAGCCTCTCTGTGGGTGCTAGGAACCAAACCTGAGTCCTCAGGGAGACCAAGTGCTCTTAACTGCCAAATATATGAAAACTTGAGGTAGGAGGATTGCCATAAGTTGGAGGCCAGCCTAAGTGAGACCTTGATCACACACACACACACACACACACACACACACACACACACACACACACACACACACGGTTTACTTCTTATAAGTGAAGTTTGAGAGTTGCAGAAAACACGTAGAAACAAAATGTGTTCGTTCTATCCTCACAAAATAACGACATGAGATTTTTAAGTGGGGGGGGGGGGGAGTGCTGCTCTTATGAAAACAATCCCATAAAGGCAACTCATCAAAAAGTCAAGCCGGGCATAGTGGCACCTGCGCAGTCGCAGCTAAGTTAGGAAGATGTGTGGCTCTAGGCTAGCCTGGGCTACCTAAACCCTGCGTCAAGAAACAAAACGAGTAAAAACTGTTGTTGAGGTGAGGCCAAGACGCCAGGAACCAGCACTCGGGAACGTCCCGGGGACTCGGACTTTGACAACAGGTGGCGTGAACCTGCGCCAAAAGCGCAGAACAGGCTTTTCCCCAACCGCCCCGAGCCCACGGGAGGCTGTTGTGCGCCTGCGCCGAGTTCCCGCAAGCGCAGCTGCGGAAGCCGCCTCTCTGCATGTTGGACTCTTGCACTTGCAGGAAGTGGGGACCCGGGCGGAGAGCGACCCGGCAGGACAGCAGTTTGGGGACGCGGGGCGGCTGAGTGTAAGTGTCTCCCGCGGTGGGGCAGGGCCTCCGGGAGGCCCTAGTTTCTTGGTCCGGTAACTACCCACCCCTAGCACCGAGTGGAGGAGAGCCAGGGGTTGTGATGCCCAGCGCCCTGGGGGTACACTGCCTATAGTTCAGCCGCATCTAGAAGCTCCAGTGGTTACATGGGGTTGTTTATCTGGGCCTGGCTTTCTGGAGGACACTGGTTAATAATGAGGAAACATCAAGGTTAAATTTGACTTTCGCTTCTTATTGCATCCAAATTTGCAAACTTCATAATAGCCAACATTCTTTCGGTTGTCGTTTCTGCACGCTGGTAGGCCGTTATGATTTGTTTGCCCAGGAATATAATAGCTGCATCGAACAACGTACACATTTTGTTTTAAAGGGCTCCAGCAGGAACATGTTCTCTCAGTCCTTGAAGACGGGGCAGACGCTCACATGTGTGAATCTTAATCACTTCTCATTCTCTAACTTTGCATTTCTTTTATATTCGGTAGTATTACATTTGTGCATTTGGTGGCCAGCGCTTTTCTTTTTCTGGGAACTTTTTGCCAACTGTTCTTGCCTCGTTTTTCACTGGAGTATTGCCTTTTACATACTGAGGCATAAGAGCCCCAAATGAAACTTCAGTTATTACTATATGGTACAGGACTTAACCTCTCCTTTTATCAGTTATGACTTTGGTTTGCTTATGGCATTTTGGCCATGTAGAAGTTTTAATTTCTGTGTAAATTTGCTAATACTCTGTTTATGAATTCTTAATTTTATGTTTCAAAGGCCTTTACAAGTTACAAGTTTTTATGGTTTCACTCTTTTAATTAAAACTTACCAGAGAAACAGACTGAGAAAGACCGAACTTATGCTGGCTTCAAACCCAAGGTTCTCTTACCTCAGCCTCCTGAGTTTTGGGATTATAGGAGTATGTTTCCTGGAACCTTTAAAAAAAAAATGCAGAGTGTGTGTGTGTGTGTGTGTGTAATATATGCACTTATATGTATGTATGTGTGTATGTATGTATATATACATATACTTTCTCCAAATATTCATTTTGTTTTGTTTAGAGTTTGTATGTGCATGCATGGATGTTTGGAGAAAGTACTCCACTAGGTAGCCAGGGCTAGCCTGGAACCTACTATGTAACTAATGATGGTGGTGGTGTTCCCAGTCCTCCTGACTCAGCTTCCTAAGTGCAAAGACCTGGAGCAGGGTCACCACACCCGGCTGATTATTATATTTTGATGACTGGTAACAAGGGGATCTCTATTAATTGTTCAGAATTTGCTCCATCGTGCTCATTTTTATCTTTCCAGATGCCTTGAACTTCAGCACTGTTTAACCAGGTTCCAAAGATAAATGATTTTAATGCTTTTATTGGGAACATATCAGACATTTTAAAATCCTAATCTGCATGTTCACCATCCTTGAAGGATTAAAGATAAAGGACAAAAAGGACACAGGTGTTTGTTGTTGTTGCTTCGCCCTTAACCCTTACGGCTGTGAGAAGGAACTGGTCTTGCTGTTTTTCTTTCTGTTGCTGTTTTTTGTTTTCCTTTGCTTTGTTTTTGAGATGGTCTTACTGTGTAGACCTGGCTGGTCTGGCACTTGGTCTCTGGTCCAGGCTGTCCCGAACTTTGAGCAGTTCTCTTAGTGACAGGAACCCCAGCCTTCTGAGTGGTGAGATTACAGCACCCACCATTGCCTGGCTGGTGCGTTCCATCCGTCTAGAGTAGCTGGCAGGCGTTGTAAAGATTTCTTACGTGCGTGGGAATTAGATTGGTTGCCTTTTGACTCACTGTTTTTCATATTTACTCTAAGGCCCAAGCCTAAAGCATGGTGCAGACGAACCTCTGTCCCATCAGGTACCACGCTGCTCCCTACGCCAGAATATCACTTGTCATAGTTGTTTTCCTCACCAGTGAGTCAGAAGCAGCTAAGGGAGAAGCCGTTTATTCTGCCTGATGGTTTCAGGGGCACACAGTTCGTCACGGTGGGAAAGACATGTGGCTGGCCCCCATTCTCGGCGGTGGAAGTTTGCATGTGGCTTCTTACATGTTGGTGGATCTGGGAGCAGAGAGCCTGACCAGAGAGCAGACAAGTGGAGCAGGTGTCAGTACCCGCCCACCTTGCAGGGAGCCACTTCCTCTCACTAGGCCCAGCCTCCTAAAAGTTCTCCCTACAGTGTCTGAAAACAGCACCAGCACTTGGTGAGAAAGTATCCATTCGCAGGTGTGAGCCCATGGAGATGTTTCGATTTTACTTTAGATTATACGTTTGTGCCTGTGTGTCCTAATGTGGGTATGTACTCATGAGTGCAGGGGCCCGTGGAGGCCAGCAGAGGAGTGTCTGTAAGCTGCTCCACCTGGGTTCTGGGGTCTGACCTCTGGTGTGCCCTTGACCGTTAGCCATCTCTCCAGCCCCTCACCTTTTGTTTTTAGCACTCCCTGTATCCCTGTTGTAGCCAGAACAAAGGAAATGACATAAACGTCTCTAGCCAGTGTTGTTTGGTGTTTGTCTGTACGCTCGGTGCCTTCCGATATAATAATAATAATAATAATAATAATAATAATAATAATAATAATAATAATAATAATATAATAATAATAATCACAGCAACCCTCTACTAATCGGTGCGGTTTTCCCATTTAGAAGTTAAGGATGGAGAGTCAGGTGGCTTTCCGGAAGCTAACATACCCAGGATGTGGACACAGGCAGCTGACTCCAAAGTCTGTGTCGTTAGCCATCACGCTGTTTTTTTAGCTAAGCCTTTGAAAGGTCACGTTCCCAGAAGAAGTGCTCAGGGAAGACTCAGAGAAAGGTGGACGAGTTTTCTGAGCTGCTATAAGGAAGTTAACTTATGGTTAGCCTTAGCCGCCTTCTTCAGTCACCTGTCACTTCAAAAGGTACTTCCCACTGGGTTGCTGGGGGAGACGTGAGAAGGCTAGTAAAGATCTCCTGTACACATTGTGTGTTTTGATAATTTTTTTCTTTTTCTTTATACCAAGAATCAAAACTATATATTTCTTTAAAAACTATGGTGAGAAAAGTATTAGGGCCTGGAGGGGTAGTCATATTGCTATTCTTATGTCTTACAAACTGATGCTCTCTTCAAATTGTGGTTCATAAACATAGGGTGCATTTATTGAGTAAGGTAGCGAGCAGGCAGCCGGGAAAATTTCCGTTGGAAGAGGAAAAGTCTGCGTATATGTGGCGAGCTTGAGAGGACGTGGATTAGTCGTGCCCGAAGCCCAACGAGGCTCAAATGATTACAGAACTAGATTAAGCGTAAATGATATCTAGGAAAAGTTCCAGTGAGAGAAAAGTACTTCCCTGTCGCCACTCCCACAAGTTAAACTCTCATCAGCATTTAGGCATGTGGCAGGGGAGCTCAGTGAGAAAGAACTTGCCTGGTGAGGCCTCAGATGTGATTTCCCAGCACCTCTTCCCCAGAAAAGGTGCTGGGTAAGGTTAGTAACCTGGATCTACCCTTCCAGTTCAAAGTACATTGTATAGATGGCTGTTCAGTGAAATGTTTCCCTAAACTGTTGCTTCTGGGTTTTATTTGTGGTGTTCCTGAATTGGTAATGATCGTAATTTACTTTATTCCACCTACAAAACCTAGTATGTCAAGAAATCAACATAGCTTGATTACAATATAAGATATATCACATGGATAGCCATTTCTTTTTCCATTTTATTTTCATTTTAACTCTGGACAGCTATTGGCCACAAAAATAGTTTTCAGTGCTGCACATCAGTTTCAATTACATCTTTTCTCTCCCCACCCTCTTTTTTTTCATTTTTCGAGACAGGGTTTCTGTGTGTAGCCTTGGCTGCTCTGGAACTCACTCTGTAGACCAGGTTGGCCTCAAACTTTTAGAGATCCACCTGCCTCTTCCTCCTGAGTGCTGGGATTAAAAGCGTGCACTACAACCATCTGGCATCTCCCTCTTTTCTTTTTAAGATTTGTTTTATTATCTTATGAGTGTTTTCCCTGCATGTAAGCCTGTGAATCACATGCATGCCTGGTGCCTTCAGATGCCAAAAGAGGAACTGGCCTGGAACTGGAGTTACAGATACTTGTGAACAGCCTTGTGGGAGCTGGGAGCTGAACCCAGGTCCTCTGCTAGAGCAACCAGTGCTCGTATTCACTTAGCCATCTCTCCAGCCCCTCAACTGCATCTTTTAAAAGCTTTCCCATATTCGTTTATTGTCCATTTATGTTCTTAACTCTTGTGATTAGATCAGAGGCAACAGAAAAGGATGCAGGTGGATTTAAAGGTATGTGGAGTCAGCTATTCCATCGGAAATTGGCAATGGAAATGGGTTTGCCCCTGTGGATAAGGAATAATCATGCACTGCTTGACCTAAGTAAAGGCATGTCAACCTGATTTGATTTTGAGTTGGAAAAGCTTTTGTTTAAGTTTTAAAGGTTTTTGCTGTTGTATTTGTTGTTGTTGAAATAATGTATCTTTATTTAGCCAGGTTGACCTAGAACTTACTATATAGCCTATGCTGGTCTGCATCTGAGGATCCTCCTGCCTCAGCTTTCTGAGTGCTAGGATTTCATACTGGTCCAGGCCACCAACTCTGCCTTGTTTTTGTGTTTTGCTGTAGTGATAATTGAACCCAAGGCTTTGCATTTTGTATGTGTTCGAACACTGGGTAGCCTGAGAGTTTTTTGGAGACAGAAATATAGTACAGCAGGCTTTCTAGGGAGTGTTGTTGAAATCACTTGTAGAAGGAAAGGGAAAGAAATGGGAGGGAAGATACCAGGCTGGAATATAGTATAACTAACACCTCAGTTGGCCCCACAAGGATGGCCCTTCAGAGTGTCCTTTTTACATCTTTCTGTTGAAGCGAGGCATGATGGCATATACTTGTCATCCCAGTGCTCAGAAGGCTGAGGCAGGAGGATTAGTACTTTGCAGCCAGCCTGGGCCATATAGTGAGACTGTCAGATAAACAGAATGAGTAGGGAGGCCCAGCACTCAGGAGACAGAGGCAGGTGGCTCTCCTGTGAGTTTAAAGCCACCTGGTCTCCACAGGGAGTTCTAGACCTGTCGGGGCTATGCAGTTGCAATTGCTTGCAGTTTTTGTTTGTTTGTTTTTAAACAGTGCTAGAGTTTGTATGCAGGGCCCTGGTAGGCTGAACTGAACTCCAAAGCAAGTGTTCTACCACTGAGCCACAGCCCAGGTCCTTTTTTTGCAGTTTGCCCTATGTGGACACCCAAGCCCCTTACACTGCTCAACCCTCTCTTGCACTTATCAATCAGCTCTAGTGTTCAAAATATCAGCTGATTAAGGGCAGATGTTACATAATATATTTTTAGCTCCTAAGACTTCTACTTTGCACGTTACACACCTTATACTCAAAATTTTTCACCTGCTGAGTTCGTTTCTCCAGGCTTTGAAATGCTTTGTTTGCTAAGAGAGAGTGTTACAGGGTGTATTGAAAGCGTTAACACCAAAGCTGTGTCTCTTCCAAGTCTCTTTTAGTGTATATTTATTAAAGAACCTATGTAGTAGCAGGGCAGTGGTGGTGTATGCCTTTAATCCCAGTACCTGGGAGGCAGAGGCAGGCAGATCTCTGAGTTTGAGGCCAGCCTGGCCTACCGAGTGAGTTCCAGGACAGCCAGGGCTACACAGAGAAACACTTTAAAAAAAAAAAAAAAAAAAAAAAAAGAGCCTATGTAGTTAAATGAAGCAGCCCCAGACATTCAGTAAATATGTATTGTCTTGAATTCAATTAATTGAAACTAGTAGCTGGTCTCTAGTAACAAAACATTTTTCTCCTTTCTATCAAGGCTCATCATGGCTTCCAGCCACACTGTGTTGATGCGACTGGTGGCCTCAGCGTATTCTATCGCTCAGAAGGCAGGAACCATAGTCAGATGTGTCATTGCTGAAGGAGACCTGGGCATCGTGCAGAAGGTACGCCATCTTGTCTGTTTCTAAACTCAGTGTCTGTTCTTCACAGTAGTAAAGAATGTCATAGTCTAGACCAAGTAACGGTAAAATGATGGACTCCACCAGAGCCTTCCTTTCAACATCTGCTTTGAAAAGAACTCCAAACCGTATGTGGTGGCGCACACCTTTAATCCCAGCACTTGACAGAGGATCTCTGTGAGTTTGAGGCCAGCCTGGTCTACAAAGCGAGTTCCAGGACAGCCAGGACTGTTCCACAGAGAAACCCTGTCTCAAAAAACCAAAAAAAAAAAAAAAAAAAAAAAAAAAGAAAAGAAAAAAAGAAAGTAACTCCATACTTCATTCAAGGTCTTTGTATATATGATGAAGTTCACCTCCAGAACAGATCCTAATCTATTCCCTACAAAGCCATGCAACCTTAGAACATACGACATGTTTGAGAAAATCTGATTTTTAAATAAGCATTTCTTATTCAAAGCTATAAAAGCCACATGTGGTGCTAGACAGCCATTGTCCCAGCACTTTGGAGATAAAGGCAAGAGGTTCAGAAGTTCAAGCCCAGCCTCAGCTATAGAGTGAGTTCAAGGCCAACCTGAGCTATATGAGACCCTGCCTCAACCCCATCTCCGTCTTCACCACCACCCCCCAAAAAAAACCCAGAAATTCTTTCTGATGCATTAATGAATCATCTTCAGGAACTCTTGCATTACAAGAATAAGTGGGGGAAGTTACAGAGGACACTCTTCATACACAGATGATAGAGTATTCAGCTTCACTTTGGAACAGTGTAAATTTATTTCTTTTGTTTGTTTGTTTGGTTTGGTTTTGAGATAATAAGGTCTTGTTGTGCTGTCCAGGCTGTCCTGGAACTCCCTGTACAGACTAGGCTTACATAGATCTTATGGTAGCTGGCTTGGAACTCACTGTGTAGACCAGGCTAGACTAGGACCTCTGGTGAACCTACTGCTTCTGCAAGTATGAGATTCTAAAAAGTATGTAGCACCACATGGTAGTTTCCTGCCTCTTAGCCTATGAAGAAGGTTAGTAACTAGAATCTTATAATAGAATTTCTCAATAGAGAAGAAAACATTCCAAATAATTTAATAGCACCTTTGCAAACTTGAACCCTTATGGAGCTGATAATGTAACTCAGTGGTAGAGTGCTTGCTCAGCGTGCACAAGGTGTGGGTTTGATCTCCATCAACACATATACGAACACCCTGTTGTTGCTAGAGTTTTCCTGCCTGGCCCACAGTCAGGACAAATCTCTCTCACCTGCCAGTCCCACAGCCACTCAGACCCGACCAAGTAAACACAGAGACTTATATTGGTTACAAACTGTATGGCCGTGGCAGGCTTCTTGCTAACTGTTCTTACAGCTTAAATTAATCCATTTCTATTAATCTATACCTTGCCACGTGACTCGTGGCTTACCGGCATCTTCACATGCTGTTTGTCATCGTGGCAGCTGGCAGTGTCTCTCTGACTCAGCCTTCCACTTCCCAGCTTTATTCTCCTCCTTGTCCCACCTACACTTCCTGCCTAGCCAATGGCCAATCAGTGTTTTATTTATTGACTAATCAGCAACACATTTGCCATACAGAACATCCCACAGCACTTCCCCCTTTTTTTTTCCAAAAGGAAGGTTTTAACCTTAACAAAGTAAAATTACATATAATTTGGGAATTTGGGCGTAGCTTCTCTTACTACTTCCTGCTGGAGGGGGGCGCTGTATCTTATGGGGAAACAAAGAAAATTTTAGGATTATGGAATAGTCTATGAGGCTGTATTGTCTGAGCCAGATGCCTTCAAACCATCCTGGATGTTGGATCATCTGGGCCATGGTGTCATTAGAGACCTTTCAGGGGGTCTTGGCTGGTCAAACCTGATGTATCTTAATCTTGAACAAATCCATAGCCTTTGGCTTTCTGTGGGAACAAAAGAGACTCTTTTCCAAAGCACCATATCCTTATATCCAAATTTTGAAGTCAAGGTATCTTTAAAATATACATTTTGGCATAACTCAACAGCTTTTACAATCAAATGTTTTTCTGCAGTTAAAAATCCCGAAGACAACACAATGCAGATTCTCTGTGTAATATCCATTTTTACGTGGCTTATTTTTTATATTAACTTTACTGTCTCTTTAAAGACTTTATTTTTTAAAACTATGTATTTGTTTCTATAACTCTATATATCATCTTTCAAGCCTATGTATCTTTTACACACATTGTAAACTATTACATCTGAATCTGTCTTATTGTGAATCTATTGCCTTAAACTGCAGCAGCTGTGGCTGCTGGCTCCACCCACCTCAGCTTCCCAACGTGGTGGTGTTACCTTTTCCACCAGCTCTGAGAGCTATCGTGGGTCTATGCTTTTAACCAAGCAGCGTGTAGTCCAGAAACCTCTTTTTTTGTTTTGTACTAGCAAAGGCTAAATCCACCACACAGCTTAATGTGCCACTTGTAGAGGCCTCATTCCTGCCAAACTGCAGGTCGAGCACGCACACCAGAAACCCACAAGTAGCTCAAATTGGCAGCTGCCGCTCATTTGAGAGAGACAATTAGGAAGCTGTTTTTAGCTCCATTTAGAATCTTTTTTCTCAGTTTTTAGGTGGAAACTCTTGCCACCACGTTGGACGCCACCCTGTGTTTCTAAATTACGTTTATTTATCGATATATTTGTAACGCAAGTTGATCTCAAAATCTTGGCAATCCTCCTGCCTCAGCCTTCCAAGTGCTGAGATTACAGTCATGCAATACCACCTAGCTTCACTTCCCATTCTTAACTGCTGTTAATTCTCTGAGAAGCAGCAGGGCATATGACTAGTTGATTCATTTGGGGCTAAGCTCTGTGAATCTGAAATCTGAAAATGTAGTGTAAATTATGTGGGCACTGTGCACTTGGGAGTGGGAAGACCATTTATCCCTGATGGTATTTCTGTTGAGATTTGCATTCTTTGTTACAGACCTCAGCCACAGACCTGCAGACCAAAGCAGACCGCTTGGTACAGATGAGCATATGCTCTTCCCTGGCACGGAAGTTCCCTAGGCTGACAATTATAGGGGAGGAGGTAAGAGTCACCATAGCACATCGATTCATAACCGGCGTGCCGTTGAATCACATGGCATGGTTACAGTCTTAGTATCGGAGCTAGTGTTCGAACACAGAAGTGATCATTTTCCTTAGAGGAAGTAATCTGACTTTATATTTCAGTCCACTTCTAGGCTAAGTCTCTGCTCTTAGTGATGGGAGACACGGTCGCCATTGTAGTGACTGTGCAGCGTTAGAACCGTAAGTTAGGCTCGTGGTAGAACACTGCCTGCTGGAAGTGAGGCTCTGAGGTGAGAGGACCTCTCAGGAATAAGACCGTGGGGCTCACACGTGTGAGGCCCTGGGTTTGAGCCCCAGCATCAAAAGTTAAATTTTAAGAGTTGGCAAAGTTCTGAAACTTTGAGATAGAATGGGTTTTGTTTTTGTTGGTTTACTGGTCTTTCACTTCAGAAGTCAGACTTGCATACTTAAAACTGAGAGAACAGAATATGTTTTGTTTTTGTTTTTTATTAAGTTCTTTGACAAGTTAGTACATGTATATAATACGTTCTGGTTACTCCCCACACTGGAATTCCCCTCCCCCGCCCCTTCCAGCCCCCTCACTCCCAACTTGTCCCTTTCCCAATTCATGGCGTTGGTTTGGTTCGGTCTCCCATTTAGTTTAACCAGCGCCGTCTGTGTGACTGTTTAATTGGGACCGTCCATTGGAGCCTGGTCATGAGTGGTCCACCACAGAAGGCAGTGCCTTCCCCTTCCCCCGACTCTGTCTGTAGGACGTAGTTCAGCTGTGAAGGAGCGGCCCGCATCCCTCTTCCGTCTGCTCAGCTGTTGATGGGCCTGTCCGTTCTCACGGCCAGTGCAGTCATCTGTAGTTGTTGAGAGTTTCAGGGTGGCGCGCGCTGGCTGTGTATTACCCCAGTGATGGCGTTCTGCAGCCCTCTTCCATATTTCCGACCCTCACAGTCTTTCTGCCCTGTCTTCTGTGAAGCTTCGTGAACCTCGGGGGAAGGTATGAATGTCTTTCTTAGAGCTGAGCAGTCAGCTGTCACTTAGTCTTATTATGCAGCCATATATCTCGCCCTTCATCAGTGTTCACTAGAAAGAGGAGCTTCTGATTAAGGCTAAGAATGAGAATTAGCTATGGGAATGAGCATGCATGTTTATAAGGTGGTTTGACACTGTGAATTTAGTAAAGCCGTAGAGTTTAATTCCCCAACAGGGCTTATGACCTCCTTTTTTATACATTGAGTGGGTTTCCAGACACTAAGTAGGTTTAGAGGACTAAGCGTGGACTCCCCCGAGTGGAGCAGACCTCAGATTCAGTCAAGGGCAGGAGTTACCTCCCGTAGCAGTCATGCCACTGTTACACAAGTAGGCACAGCTTGCCTGACAGGTTAGCACTGTCGTTTGTAGTTCCCAGCTGGGGAATCTTTTCTTCCCCACCAGCTCCTAGCACCTTCTAGCACTATGAAAGCTGGTCCGTAGGGAAACGTTTCCAGAGCATTTCTAGCTTGATTTCTCTGTACCATGCAACCAAAGTGTGTGGTGTCCTCAGCAGGAAGGTCTTGTCATCTGACTCTAGTGGACAGCCAAGACAAATGACAAGTGCCTGTATTGTTTTAGGGGCCACCAGGACCTCCCTGACCAACTTACAAGGAGTTACCCCACCATAGCACTGGTGTTTTTCATAAACTATAGTTTCACGGGGGAGCAGTTCCTAGCCAGGTCGTCCACCTCCCTTCCAACTTTAAAAAATGCATCCTAGCCGTTGTGAATAGAGCAGCAGTAAACAGACGAGTCAGTTCTCAGTAGTGGGATGTCCAGCCTTTGGGCACGTCCTAGATGGAATAGCTGGGTCGTATGGTAGGTCTAGTCCTAGATTTTTGAGGAGTCTCCACACTGATTTCCCTACTGGCTGCACTAGGTTACACTCCCAGCAACAGTGCATAATCGCCTCTCTCTCCTACACTAGGTTACACACCCACCAACAGTGCATAATTGCCTCTCTCCTGCACTAGGTTACACTCCCACCAACAGTGAAGAAGTGCCTCTCTCTCCTGCACTAGGTTACACACCCACCAACAGTGAAGAAGTGCCTCTCTCTCCTGCACTAGGTTACACACCCACCAACAGTGAAGAAGTGCCTCTCTCTCCACATCCTCACCAGCATCTGTTGTCTTTTAATTTCTCGATGATAGCCCTTCTGCCTGGGACGAGATGGAATCTCAAAGTAGCTCTAATTTGTAGTTCTTTTTATGCTGTGGTTTGAACACTTTTAAAAATGTTTATTATTCATTTGTAATACTTTTGAGAATTCTCTGTTCAGTTCTACAGCCCATTTTTGTTGTTGTTTGTTTGTTTGTTGACACAGGGTTTCTCTGTGTAGCCCTGGCTGTCCTGGACTCGCTCTGTAGACAAGGCTAGCCTCGAATTCAGAGATCTACCTGTCTTTGCTTCTGAGTGCTGAGATTAAAGGCATGCACCACCACTGCCCAGCTGGCATGCAGAATTTTTTTTAAAAGTGTTTTTGTTTGTCTGGGGTATGTGTGTGTGTGCACACACATGCACATATGTGTCTTGCTTGCCTGGATGTTGCTACTCCACATGTGAGCCTTTTACCTGTGGAGGCCAGGAGAAGGCATCAGATCCCCTGGAACTGGAATTATAGATGGTTGTGAGCTGCCACGTAGGTGCTGGAGATCAAGCCTGGATCCTCTGGAAGAGCAGATAGCCAGCTCTCCAGCCCCCGGAGTTGATTTTTGTTCAAGGCAGGAGGGAAGGGTCAAGTTTCATTCTTCTATGTGTAGACATCCAGTTTTCTCAGCACAACTTTTCAAAGATGCACTTCTTCCCATGTGTGTTTTTAGTGTCTCTATCAAAAATAAGGTGGCTGTGATTGTATCAGGTTATTCTGGGGTTTCTGTTCCATTCCACTGATCTACACGTCTGTTTCTGTGCCAGTACCATGCCCTTTTTGTTACCGTGGTTCTATGGTATCATTTGAGGTCAGGTATGGTGATGCCTCTGGCACTGTACTTTTGTTCTGGATTGCTTTGGCTCTCTGGGTTCCTTTGTGTTTCCATTTGAGTTTTAAGGTTTTGTTTTTCTATTTCTGTGAAGAAAACCATGGTGATTTTGATTGCAATTGCATTGAATATTGAATATTGAATATTGCTTTTGCTAGGATGATCATTTTTACATCATTAATTCTACCAATCTATGAACATGAGAGGCCTTTCATCTGCCAATCTCTGCCTTGATTTCTTTCTTCAGAGATTTAGTCTTTTGAGAAGAATCTCACTATGTAACCTTGGTTGGCCAGGAACTCAATATGTAGACCTTGAACTCATAGAGGTCCACCTTCTTCTATCTCCCGGGTGCTGGAGTGACAGGCTTATTCCAACCAGGCCTGGAATTTTCTTTGGTTTTAAAGTTTTCATGGTAGAGTTCCTTTACCTCCTTCCTCAGGTTTCCTCTGGGGTATTTTGCTTATTTATCAAGACTCCTATGACTGGGATTGTTTCCCTGATTTCTACCTTTGTTTATTTGCTATTGGTATAAAAAAGCACGTTGTTTGTATCCTGCCAGTTTGTAGAAAGCGTTGGTCGATTCTAGTTTTCTGGTTGTTAGGGGCTGCATGTAAAGCATCATATTCTCTGCAAACAAGAAGCGCCGACTTCTCACTTCCTGGTTGTTCCTCTCTTGTTCTTGTCCTGTTGCTCTGAGACTCAAACACCATATTGACGACCCTGCCTTGTTTCTAATTTTAGTGTTGGCGTTTGTTTGACAGGGTCTCTTATGGAGCCCAGGCTGGCCTTGAGTTCTTCCTGCTTTGGCCAGTCGAGTGCCGGGGTTACAGGTGTACCAGGCTCCATAAGGAGATTTTGTTGTTCTTTTTCGTCCTCACTCACATTGCCCCTTTTGGGGTGCTCGGGTTTATACCCAGTCTCGTGCATGCTGGGCAACTGATGAACCACTGAGCTGTATCCCAAGTCCTAGGGTGACTAGACACCCAGGTTCATAACCCACTACCTTAGTATCCCAGCATTCCCAAAGAAATTGGGAAACACATGTGTAAAGGAAAATGGATTTATTCATGAGAAAAAAAGGGTTTGGGGTTCCTTCTAGACGTTCCTGAATCATGGTTTAAATGAGGCTAGGATGCAGCTGTGAGGTTAAGTCATCAGAACTGTGAGACTTTCTGTGGGAGAGGCCCCTTCTTGGTGCCCACATTTCAAGCTCAGGGTAGAAGCTTCCGGGGAAATCCCAGTTCTCACTCGTCTCCTCAGCTCCTGCTAGTGTCACACTAGGTTTGCCGTGAACATCTGGGCATAAGGGGGAACAGCAGTGGCTAGGACCCAGCTGCTGCATTTGTGTCGGGGATGCGATGCATTGTGGGAACAAACCGCTGTGTCATCCCGTCTGCTGCAGGACCTGCCTCCCGGGGAAGTGGATCAAGAGCTGATTGAAGACGGGCAGTGGGAGGAAATCCTGAAGCAGCCGTGCCCATCGCAGTACAGCGCTATTAAGGAGGAAGACGTAAGGCCATCTTTTTGGGTTTTTTTTTTTTTTTTTGGTTTTTTGGGGTTTTTTAATTTATTTTTATTATTTTAATTATGTGTATGTGTTGGGGGGTATGTGCACATGACACATGAGTGCAAATACCCACAGATGTCTGAGGTGTCAGATACCCTGGAGCCAGGGTTACAGGCAGCTGTGAGCCACCTGATGTGGGTGCTGGGAATCGAACTCAGAGCCCCAGGAAAAGCAGTACATGCTCTTAACCACTGAGCCATCTCTCCAGCCCCCATAAGGCCTGTCTTTATGGCTGGTACTCCCTGTTAGTCTGGTCTGCGGCCATTGTGAAGGAAATGCAGTTTGTCTGTAAGAGGGAAAATGTGTGGTTTCGAAGGTGGCAGTCAGGCACGGAGTCCTTCAGAGCCAGCAGAAAGAGCAGGACCAAGGGACACGTGGCGGACCCAGCTCCCCGTCCTCTCCTGTACGTCTCCTCTGCTCTCTGAAACCATTATTAAAAGCATTTTTAGTAAGAAAGTCTCCTTTGCTGGTCCGTGGATTTGGTAACAAAGCATTGTGTGGGCAGTGGGGCTGGTCATTCTAGAAAACCATAAAAGTCTTCGCACTTGGGCTGGAGAGAGGAGTTGGCAGTTAAGAGCCCTGGCTGCTCTTGGTGAGGAGCCAGGTTCAGTTCCCAGCAACCACGTTGTAACTCCAGCTCCAGGGGATCCTAGTTTTGAATTATTTAACATTGTACTTACAGAATAATTACTATGAGGAAGAAATTCTATTCTGTGAGAAAAAGGATAAAAAATAATGAGACATGATATCAGGAGTTCTCAGAAATTCATACCCAGTTTACTGGGTATGGGAGGATATTCTCAATTATGTTGAAAGTCCTAAGCAAGAGAGATTTCTTTTTTGTCTAGTGCCCATTATATGAGCCATTCCATTCTCTTAGGTTATTGTGACATGTCCTTAAGATAACCAAACCTTTCTCTCTCTCTCTCTCTCTCTCTCTCTTTTTTTTTTTTTTTTTTTTTTTTTTTTTTTTTTTTTTTTTTTTTGGTTTTTTTGAGACAGGGTTATTATGTTTTAAATGAGCATGTACAGGCCTGGCATAGTGACACATGCCTTGAATTCCAGCATTTGAGAGGCAAAGGCCAGGTGGATTTGTGAGTTTGAGGCCATCCTGGTCTACATAATGAATTCCAGGATAGCTTAAGCTACATGGAGAGACCCTGTCTCAAAACACTAAAAGAAAAAAAGTCTGCACACACACATAAAATGAGTAACACACTTAGATTGCGCAAAGTATTCTCAGCGCTTTGTGGCAGTTTTTTCCCTGTAGCGCCATCTAGAGCTGTGTGAGTCGGTGACATTGCGCTTAGTGTTCAAGTGCCAGCCAGCATTTATCAGCTGTGCTGTAAAACATGTGAAACCAGCCTTTTGTTTGCTTTAAATGTGTGTGCTTACTCCATGATTATGCAACTTTGGGTGTTTTGTTTTGTTTTGTTTTGTTTTGTTTTTGCTGATCACAAAGCTGAGGATGTTGACTTGAGTCATCCATAATAATGTGTTCAAACATATTAAAAGGGGGTGTTTAATCTATTCATTCTCTGAATTTTACATACTTGATATGGATATGTCCTCTCTTTTCCATTTTTATTTGGCAGCTTGTGGTTTGGGTTGACCCCTTAGATGGCACCAAGGAATATACTGAAGGTCAGTATCTCTCCGCCACTTGTACAGCACTGAGGCCAGGCAGTGACACATGAATGTGTCAGATGAAGAGCTGCTGTGTTCTGTCTGCTGTCATACCTGAGTGTTATCCGGAAGAGTTCATCTTCAGAGACCACCCTACACACTCTACCAGTTCCAGTTCTGGGGTCCCCACGTGGGAGACTCCATCATTGTAAACCTTCTTACCCCAGGGACTGTGCTGAAACCATGTTTTCTTGGGCTAGAAAAATGCTGAGCACAGCTGTGCTGCCCCAGCTCCACCACACCTGGTCCCACAGCATCCCCCTCCCTCTCCCTCATCTCCTTCCCACAGCATCCCCCTCAGTCTCCCTCATCTCCTTCCCACAGCATCCCCCTCACCTTCATCTCAGTCCCACAGCATCCCCCTCACCTTCATCTCAGTCCCACAGCATCCCCCTCCCTCTCCCCCATCTCAGTCCCACAGCATCCCCCTCCCTCTCCCCCATCTCAGTCCCACAGCATCCCCCTCCCTCTCCCCCATCTCAGTCCCACAGCATCCCCCTCACTCTCCCCCATCTCAGTCCCACAGCATCCCCCTCCCTCTCCCCCATCTCAGTCCCACAGCATCCCCCTCCCTCTCCCTCATCTGAGGTTACCAGAGGTGAGAAAAACCAGAAAGCATTGAATTTAAACCAGAGGCATAAAAGTCAGGAGGAGCTGTGTGATAGCTCACGCCTGTAATCTCAGCACACTGAGGCGGGAGGACTGCTTTGCGTCTGAGGCCAGCTCGAGTGAGGTACACAGTGAGTTCTGGGTCAGGCTGAGCAGTGTGAGACTGTCAACATCAGTAACTCCCCAGAGAGATCGCCATATATAGGTTTTCTTCTGTTGCTTCCCAGCTTCCTGGAGATTTCTTATAACTGCCGGATAAAATGTTCTTGGCCCTTGGATGAGATAGAATGGTAGTGACTGAATGTATTCAGTGTGTCAGTGTGCATGTGTGGAGTGTGCATGTGTGGAATGTGCATATGTACCGTATGAGGGTGTGTGTGTGTGTGTCAGTGTGTGTGACATGCATATATATACTGTGTTAGTGTGTGTAGAACACACATATGTACTGTGTGAGGGTGTGTGAGACTATATGTGACTGCTACGTGAGTGTGTGTAGCATGCATATATACTATGTGAGTGTGTGTGTAGAACACGCATTTGTACTGTGTGAGAGTATGTGTGTGTCAGGGTGTGAGTGTGTGGGTAGCATGCATAGGTACTGTGTGAGGGTGTGTGTGACTGTGTGTCAGTATGTGAATGTGTGTGTGATACATATGTGCTGTGATTATGTCTGTGAGTGTGTGTGAGAGCGTGTGCATGTGTGTGCACATGAATGTGTATATGGCACATATGTATTTTGTGTGTGAATGTGTCTGTGAGTATGGTGCATGCATATGTATTCTAGGGAGGGTGCGTGTGTGTGTGTGTGTGTGTGTGTGTGTGTGTGTGTGTGTGTGTGCACTGAAAACCTCTGAAGCCCATTGAGAAACAGGGAAGTCATCCTGGAGCGTTGATTAACCACTGGCTCAGGGAAGGGGAGTCCTGCAAGTTATAATCCACTAGGTGATCCAGTGCCATGTGATATTCCTGGACTTCGATGCCTGCCAGAGGCTTGAAAGTGAGTCTGGGCGGGGATTCAGGAACAGCAGTCGGATCCAGCAGGCTGAGGAGAGCACAGTGGATGGGGCTCCTTGGAGTGAGGAATCTGTAAACAGCTTTGCCACCGTGGCATTAACAGGTTTACAGACTGCACTAAGGAGAGTGTGGTCATGGCTGTCCATCCAGTTTAGCAGCTGTAATTCCCATTTCTGTCTCTGTCCAGCTCTTAGAGCTTTGCATTTGCCTCAAGTAGGGTTGTCCGTGGGAGAATCATTGCAGATCCCCTACCTTTACTGCAAAAATAACTAGCAGTCAGGGGTAGTGGCGCACGCCTTTGATCCTAACACTCAGGAGGCAGGAGTTCGAGGCCAGCCTGGTCTAGAGAATGAGTTCCAGGATAGCCAGGGCTACACAGAGAAACCCTGTCTGGAGAAAACAAAAAATAAAATAATAATAATAATGAGACTAGCAGCTGCTTGTTGGATTTACTGGTGGTAAACCATAACGTGCTTAATTCCTTCCTTCATAGGTCTTCTTGACAACGTAACGGTTCTTATTGGGATTGCTTATGAAGGAAAGGCCATCGCAGGCATCATCAACCAGCCATATTACAACTACCAGGTACTGCTACCAAGGGCACAAATATTAGGTACATAATTACAGTGTCCAATGAGTCCAGACGCCGTCTGGTCCACTTGTTATCTCACTCATCCACTCATTTGCACAGCAGCCACTCGAGGATGGGGCTTCTCAAGGTACAGCTTCCCAGGCTGCTGTTCACCTAGTGAACTAGAACTTTCTGAGGGGCTATTGGGGCCAGGAATGTAGATGTGGGCAAATAGACTGTGTGCATTATACTTTTTACATATTTGTGATTCAGTTGCAATAGTTTGGAAATTACCCATTTGGTTCTTGATTAGCGTGGTCATCAAGACACCTGGTTTACAGGTAGTTCTTGAAGCACACTGAAGAAATGAACCTTGTCAACAAAGAACAGATGCTAGCCATGTTGCTTCCCAGGTAATGCTGCGCAGTACCTGAGCCACTGCCAGTCCAGCTCGCCAGCCAGTGATGCTTGTAGCTCCTTCCTCTGACTTTGTTTCTTCCAACCTGCTTTGACTTCCTGCTGCACTTCAGAGAAACTGTCTTCCTTTAGAAACGAGAGACCAGTGTAATTTCAGGGCAAGAATCTATCATTAAATTTTATTGAAGTACAATATTTAAAGTTTCATATTAATGTGAACTTGATGAACTTTGGAAAACAGACTAACCAGAGTGGGGGCTATCTCTTCTGCATGTCTGATGTGAGAACAGACTTCATATTTAGGTGTAATGTAAGTGTGTTTATTCCTGCTGCTTACGGGATTCGAAGTTTGATTATTTCTTGGGGTTTCCCAGAGTGGCTCTATCTTGTTAGCTGAGTCAGAATGAAACACCCGGGTGTTAATCCTGACGGTGTGGCTTTGCTATCTGTACTGGAGTATACTTGGGCACAGGTTTATGAGTTTAGCCCTATTCCTTAAAAGAAGGATATTTAATTCATAGAAAAAAAGTATGCATGGCCCCTTTTATCAAAAATAGAGGTGTAAGTACTTAGGAATTGTTAATGATTTCCTCCCTTATTTCTGAGACTAGAAAACTTGTATTCATCTTCCACAGAGCAATGAAAAGGAGAAGTTGAGGGAACAGAGGGATAAAGCGAAGGTGGGAAACAGCTAGGTTCTGGTTCCCGTGCTAGGGAGGAAAGAGGCAGGCACGTGGCACCCGGTCCCTCCCGTGAACCGGTTCGTTTCCTCCTGTTCTGCGCCTCTCCTTTGTCTCCCTGTGCTGTGTCCTCTTCGCCCTCCTTGCCCTCTGAGCACGCCTTGAAATGTGTTGCAACAGGTAGAGGCCGGAAGGTTGGCTGCTGCTGGTGTTCAGGGCTGAAGATGCATGGTCACCATCAAAGCTGAGGTTCATCAGGCACTCATTGTGCTGCCATGTTCAAGGGGTTCACATGCACTGTCTCTCGTAATACTCACCACACAGCTTAAGGAAATGGTTATGTCCATGTTAAAGAAAAGGATACTAGCTGGCCTGGGGGTGCAGGCCCGTAACCCCAGATACTCAAGAAGCTGGGGCCAGAGTGTTGCAAGTTCTGGGGAGGCCTGGGCTACAGAGTGAACGGAAGACCTGCCAGCAACAAAGTGAGACTATCACAAAATACAAAGTAAAAGGGGGCTGGGGATGTGGGTCAGTGGTAGAGTTCCCGCCTAGAAAGAGCAAGGCACTGGGTTCAGTCACACACACACACACACACACACACACACACACACACACACACACACACACACGGAAAAGGAGGAAACTGAAGCCTTGAACTTGCCACTGTCACCCATTGCGTAAGCAGCAGAGCTGGGATTCAGAGTGAGTTCTAAACCCTGTTTTTAATCTCTGTTGCTCTCTTGAGCAAGGTAAAAAACTGAACAACTGAAAGTTTATTTTTGATTCTAGTAAATACTGACGTGTGAAAACACCATGAAATTCCATCTGTCTTTATGTTGGAGCTAGCTTCTTACCCGGAGTTAACAGTAACCCCTCATCTGGAAGGACAAGCGCTGGCCTCCCCATGGAACCCTTGCAGGAAAGAATAGGACATCTCAGATCAGGAGCCCAGGGGAGAGCAGGACAACAGGTCCTCAGGCCGGTCCTCTTGTCTTCTTGATTCACAAAGGGAGTATGAACTCCTTTCATTTTGTTTGTTTGTTTTTTGAGACAGGGTTTCTCTGTGTAATAGTCCTGGCTGTCCTGGAACTCACTCTGTAGACCAGGCTGACCTCGAATTCACAGAGATCTGCCTGCTTCGAGTGCTGGGACTAAAGGCATGTGCCACCACTGCCCAGCTGACTCTTTCTCTTTGAAATAGACTCTCGTTGTGTTTCCCATGCTGGCGTGGAACTCACCATGTAGCTCAGGTTTGCCTTGAACAAACAATTTTTCTGCTTCTACTTTCTAAGGGTTGAATTACAGGCAAAAGCGTCTAGAGCTGCCATCGAGAGTTATCAGTGTAGTCAGGAGGAAAGAGAGGATGCACACTGACATTCCAAGCAGCTGGTACTTAGTTTGGGTTCCTCTGGTGCTCCATGGCAGGAGGCACAGCTAACAGTCAGCCTCCTCAGGGAATGCCTCCCCTGTGAAGAGCCTTCCCACCCCAGGTCACAACCCTTCCCAAAGCAGTCTGTTTCCCATGACCAGAAAGTGCAGGTGTGGATTTGGGGCCACTCTGAAGAGCTGCCTGAACTCTGGTGTCCCCCACAGTCCCAGGCAGAGCTGCCACCTGGCCACATTGCAGCCCATTTCCCTCTGTCGGCAGTGTTTCCTTCTACAGCTGCTGATCCCACACACACTCCTTGATACCCACCCCCTGCCCTTGACTCTGCTTCCCAGGGCACACAGCCTGCAGCATAAGCCTATTTCACCCCGAAAGCGCAGTGTACTTCTCTAGGACAAAGAAGTGATGACGTTGAAAACATCTGAGCACGTCAGCTCAGGTTGCCCAGTGCCTGCCTTGATGGACACAGTAGGATTGGCCTGCAGTTCCACCTACTTGGAAGGCTGGGGCAGCAGCGTCCTTCCAAGGCCATCTAGGGCAATGCAGTGAGACCCCATCTCAAAAACAACAATGCAAAGCAAAATCAGAAGCTTCTCAGACTTGGCAGTTGGGAGTACTTGCTGCTCTTGCAGAGGACCCAGGTTGGGTTATCAGCACCCACATGGCTGCTCATGGTCATCTGGAACTCTAGTGTGGGGCACACATAGTGCACATACATACATGTCGGCAAACACTCAAACACATAAATTAAAAACAAGTCTTTTTGCCAGACAGTGGTGGCATTCGCCTTTAATCCCAGCACTCAGGAGGCAGAGGCAGGTGGATTTCCATGAGTTTGAGGCCAGCCTTATTTAGAGAGTGAGTTTCAGGATAGCCAAGGCTATACAGAGAAACACTATCTCAAAAAAAAACAAAACAAAACAAAACAAAAAAAAAAAAAACAAATAAAAATAAGTAAGTCTTTCCAGGAAAGGCGCAAAGCTACACAGAGAAACCCTGTCTCAAAAAAACAAAAAAGAAAAAAAAAGTCTTTTCGAGGCCAGCCTGGCCTATTACAGTTCCTGGTTAGCCATGGCTGCATAGCGAGACCATATCTCCAAAAATAAAATGAAACAAAAAGAGCTCTGAACCTAGATGAGCTGGATTTTGAGAGGAACTTCCTAGGCTCCTGGGTCAGTTTATTAACTGATTCTAAATCTCATTGTTAAGGATAACAACATCTACTTTCTGGGGTTGCCTCGAGTATCGGATGGGCTAATGCATGCATAAGGAACTTAGTGTGATACTGACACATCCTTGTCGGGTGAATCATACGCCTTTTCTCACGGTACACCTCCCAGGCTGATGTGACACTGTGCTGAGTTTGGACTTCGTGTGCTAGCGTCAGTTTCACTTTTTCTGAAATATGTGTATTTAGCAGCGTGGTTGGAAAAGTCTCTGAGCTCCACAAAGGAAAACACAGATTCTAAGATTGTGCTGTCATTTAGTTCTATTGGGGCATTTATCATTAAAATCGTAGTCCCATCTCCTCTGGCCACAGCTTTCTTAGCATCAGCCTTAGCATCCGCTTGGTTGCTCTGTGTCTGTGGCAGCATAATGCATCCTCACTTAGGAAACGCAGTTCCTGTTGTTCCTTGAATAATGAAAGTATATGTGATCGTTACTTTAGTACTCTAATATTGATCAGTACACAGTTGCACTTCCTGGAACTTCAATATGTTTGAAAATTGCTATTTTCGGTTTAACAGGCAGATCAGTGGATGATTCCAAAAGAAACAGTAATCAGAGTAGGAAGGTCACTCTCCTGAGGACAAAAGTGTTCCCTTTCTTTGAAACGGTTGACCAAAGCAGCCATGAGGATAATCAAATTATCATCAGGATAAATTCTTTGTCTATTCACTGCCCTTATATTTTTAACATTGTGTGTTTTTACTTTTGTAACTCAAAAATATATATTACAGACTTGGTAACTTCAGCCAAGTGAGGCTGACTGTTTCCTTTGTGGCTGACATCTTTCTCTGGTGACGGTGAGCTTTGTTGTCATTCACACAGGCAGGCCCGGACGCTGTGCTGGGCAGGACCATCTGGGGAGTTCTGGGTTTGGGTGCTTTTGGGTTTCAGCTGAAAGAAGTGCCCGATGGGAAGCACATCATCACGACCACCAGGTCCCACAGCAACAAGCTGGTCACTGACTGCATTGCGGCCATGAATCCTGACAATGTGCTACGAGTCGGGGGAGCAGGAAACAAGGTACAGAGGACATGTCCCGTTGGCCCTGCCGTCTTCTGTCACTGAATGAAGTGCCTCCTCCAGAATGTTCTCTCTACTCAGTCTAGTATTCACAGATTGAGGCCGTTAAATGCAAACCACAGCCAGGTGTGGCGCTGCATACCCGCAGTCTCGGCACTGGGGAGATGGAGCAGGAGGAACAGGAATTCTAGGTTATCTGTGGTTATAAATCAAGTTTGAGGCCAGCCTGGGCTGCGGGAGCCTCTGTCTCAGAGAAACCAAGTAATACCAGTCAATAATGATGGTTCATAATGGAGTCGTGGGAGAAGCAAGGGGTGAGGGTTCTGCAGTCTCTGAAAGTACTTGTTAAGCTAGCCAGAGCAGCTTACCTGCTGGACTTGTCCGCTGTGGTGCTGGGAATAGTTCTCTGTTACTTAGCAATGGCCAGTTTTTTAGAAATTTAAAAACATTACTTGTCCAATAGTGAATATGTATTTCCATTGTAGTAAAAAAGAAAAACCATGGGAATAAGAAAACTTAATCTAACTTGGACTATAGATTGTGGCTTATTTGGTCATATTTTTCCCCTTTAGATTACCATGTATTATTATTCACCTGTTTAATTTTTTATAATGCTGGTATCTTTTAATCTGCTTAGGGCTTTAATCTAAGTCTGACAGGAATTGATGAAATGTCTTCAGTGGGCATCGGCAGTTTTTCCTATTGGCAGCTTGGAGGTAATTATACTTTTCACCTTACAGATCATCCAGCTGATTGAAGGCAAAGCCTCTGCTTATGTATTTGCAAGTCCTGGCTGTAAGAAGTGGGATACTTGTGCCCCAGAAGTTATCTTACATGCTGTGGGAGGTGAGTCCAGCTATCTTGAAGAATTCTGGTTTTTATATTGTACTCAGGTATTATATTTCAGTATTTTTTTTTGTAATTTTATGTGTATGGGTGTTTTGTTCTGCATATATGTATGTTATTTAGCAATGGCCAGTTTTTTAGAAATATGTCTATGTACCACATGCATGTCTGGTACCCTTGGAGGCTAGAAGAGGGTGTTGGATTACCTAGAACTAGAGTTACAGATGGCCGTAAGCTTTCCTTGTGGTTGCTGGGAATCAACCCACATCCTCTGGCAGAGTAACCATGAACCATTTTAGCTGCTGAGCCATCTCTCCAGCCCTCAGTTAACATTCTTCACCGAGATTCCTAGGATGTAGATGCTGGACAGAAGCCTAGAGATGATCCGCCCAAACCCATCATCTTTGTGTCAGCAAGGATATTTCAACAAACTTAATTTTCTTTAGTTTATAGTCTTTAGTAAGAATGGAATTTCATCTTCATAGAGTTAATCAAACTTTTATTTTGTTGTTGTTGCTGTTTGTTGGTTTCATTAAGAGAAGGTCTCACTGTGTCCCTTGCTGGCCTGGGACTCATTATGTCACCCTGGCTTAGAAACTCAGAGCACTTATTCCTTGGCCAGAGGACATGAATTCAGTTCCCAGCACCCACATCTGGTGGTTCACAACCACCTGTAACTCCAGCTTCAACATGCCCCCTCTGACTTTTGCACACACACACACACACACACACAGAATGAATGAATTTTTTTTTAATACAAGACCCCATCTTTAAAAATTAGAAAATAGATGATGGAGGTAGATTATAACTCCATGGTAGAGCACCAGGCTGGCATGTATGAGGTCCTCCATGGTAGAGCACCAGGCTGATAAGTATGAGGCCCTAGTTTTATGTCATCTAGACACAAGCTAAAGTCATCTGAAGGAGGGAGTCTTGATTGAGAAAATGTCTCCATAAGATCAGGCTATAGGAAAGCCTGTAAGGCATCTTCTTAATTGGTGATTGATGGGGAGGGCCCATGGTGGATGGTGTCATCCTAGAGCTGGTGGTTCTGGGTGCTATAAGAAAACAGGCTGAGCAAACCATGGGAAGAAAACCAGTAAGGAATACCTTTCCATGGCCTCTGCATCAACTCCTGCCTCCAGAGGTTCTTACCTGGTTTGAGTTCCTACCTCAACTTCCCTCAGTGAACTGTGATTCAGGTAAGTAAGCCAAATAAACCTTTTCTTCCTCATGTTGCTTTTGGTCATGGTGTTTCATCATAGCAGAAGTAACCCTGACTAAGATAGACAGACAAACAGAAAACATTTTGGGAAGTACACTGTATAGTAAGAGAGATTGATCCCAAGAAATTCAGTTGCATGGCTAAAGAGATGGTTCAGTGGTCAAGAGCACTGGCTGTTCTTGTGGAGGACTCAGGTTCAGATCCCAGCGTCCACACAATGGCTCACAACCACCTGTAATTCCAATTCCAGTGGATATGGTGCCCTCATCTGACCTTCAAGGGCACTAGGCTCGTATGGTGTCTGTGGTGATATTTTGTTTGTGCTCTAACAAATAAAGCTTACCTGGAAATCAGAGTGCAGAGCTAGCCACTAGGAGCCAGGCAGGGATAGCACTCACCTTTAATCCCAGCACTTGGGAGGAGGAAACAGCAAGTGATATGACTGAGCACAGAGAGGAAGTGATAAGGCAGGGTGGAAACAGGAGCTGGGCCCTTTCAGTCTGAGGATTCAGCAGAGGTAAGAAATCTCTCTAGTGACTGGCTGCTCTGCTTCTCTGATCTTTCAGCATTTACCCCAATATCTGACTCTGGGTTTTTATTATTAAGACCAATTAGGATTCATGCTACAGTGTACAATACACACATGCAGGCAAAACACTATGCATATAAAATATTTATTATTTTTCCTAACCCTAACTCTAATAAATAAATATTTAAAAATAAATAAAGAAGAAGAAAGAAATAAAACCTATGAGCATATGGCCGTAGTTCAGTGGTAAAGCTCACATTTGGCATACAGGAGGCACTTGGTCCAATCTCTAGTTCTGAAGACAGGAGGGAGGCAAGAGGATATCGGGATGCAACAGACCTGTAATCCTAGAACTCCTGAGGTACAGCCAAGATCACTGTAAGTTCAGGGCTAGCCTGGACTACCTACTAAGTTCCAAGCCAGCCAGGGCTTTATGGTGAGATCTTGTTTAAAAAAGGGAGGGGGGACCAGGTGGGGAGAAGGGAGAGGAAACTGTGATCCGGATGTAATATATGAAAGAAGAATAAATTAAAAAAAAAAAAGGCCAAGCCTGGACAATGTAGCTAGAGTTTTCCTGCCTGGCCCACAGTCAGGACAAATCTCACCCGCCAGTCCCAAGCCGCTCAAACCCGATCAAGTAAACACAGAGACTTATATTGGTTACAAACTGTATGGCCGTAGCAGGCTTCTTGCTAACTGTTCTTACAGCTTAAATTAATCCATTTTCATTAATCTATACCTTGCCACATGGCTCGTGGCTTACCGGCATCTTTACATGCGGCTTGTCATCATGGCGGCTGGCAGTGTCTCTCTCACCCAGCTTCCTGTTCTCTCAATTCTCCTCTCTGTTAGTCCCGCCTATACTTCCTGCCTGGCCACTGACCAATCAGTGATTTATTCATTGACCAATCAGCAACACATTTGACATACAGACCATCCCACAGCAGGACAACTCAGACTTGTTCTCAAAAATAAAAAGGGCTGGGGATGTAGCTCAGTGGTACAGTGCTTGTCTAGTGTGCATGAAACCATAGGTTCAATCCCCAGGACAAACATTCTACAAAGTCATTAAAGAATAACTAGAGTGGGTTAGGACATAGCTCAGTGATAAAACATGTGCTTAGTGTGAGCCCTGGGGTTCAGCACTGCCCCATCCTGTCCTCCAGAGAACCCTTGAAGCATCCTGACCCAACTACCCAGTAACTGTATGCTGCTCTCCTGCAGGGAAGTTGACAGACATTCACGGGAACGCCCTCCAGTACAACAAGGAGGTGAAGCACATGAACTCGGCAGGAGTCCTGGCCACACTGAGGAATTATGAGTACTACGCAAGCCGAGTTCCAGAGTCTGTCAAAAGCGCACTCACTCCCTGAAAGGGTGCTTCACTCTCTTACCCCGGAGGACTTGGTTCTCACAACAACACATCTTAGAGTTGATGAACAATTAGAGTCAGCTGCATTCATCATTGATTGGTGATTTAGATCAGTAGTTAGGGGTGGAACATGAGATTGAAGAATTTACTTTCCGTAGTCTAATACTCTCATAACTTAGGCATATAATACATTTTAATTTTCGTTTCTCCTCCCTAAAGATAGTTGGCCAGGTCCCCAGGTGTGGTGGCACATGTGGTAGTCATAGCTATTCCAGTGGTTTGAGCTAGGAAGATTGCTTGAGCCCATGGCCTCAAGACCAGCCTCCATTACATAGCAAGACACTACCTAAAAACGGAGAAGAGAAACAAAAAAGGAATTTAGTTTTACTAATTAGCTAACCAGACCAACCACTTGTTTTGAAGTCTGGATAATTTTTAGTTTCAGTGTCTTAAGTGGTCTTAATTTTTTGTTTGTTTTTGTTTTTTGTTTTTGTTATTATTTGCTTATTTTGTTTTTGTTGTTTGTTTTTTAGTTATTGTTTGCTTGGTTTTGTTTTTGTTTTTGAGACAGGGTTTCTCTATGTAGTCCTTGCTGTCCTGGAACTTGTTCTGTAGACTAAACTGGCCTTGAAATCAGAGATCACTCCACCTCTGTTTCCCGAGTGCTAGGATTAAAGGCATGTGCCCACCACTCCTGGCTCAAGTGTTACTGTTTTTAAGTGGAGAAATGAAAAAGGCCTAGTTCCAAATTACTGTCCAGGTCATTTGTACAATCAGCATTCCTGCTTATAAACTGGATTTCTTCAGGGCATAGAACCTTTTTTTTTTTTTTTCTTTTGTCTAGTTTTTGAGGCAGGGTTTTTCTGTGTAGCCTTGGCTGTCCTGGAACTCCCTCTGTAGACCAGACTGGCCTCAAACTCACAGAGATTCTCTGCCTCTGCATGCTGGGATTAAGGGTGTGCGTTACCACTGCCCACCCAGGGTCCAGAATCTTAAATTGTGCCAGAATTTCAGTTTTGTTTTTCAAAATTTTTAAAATTTCTGACCTGAGAATGCATATAATGATATTATTTATGTTGATATGGGGAAAGTTTCTTTAAAATAAATTATTTACTTCTAGATCTTTATATTATGTATCATTTTTCTTTTCAAAAGTATTTGAAACTTATAAATACTATGGTGTGGGAGGCCAGCTCCCGCCTTTTAAAATGGTTCCTATGAGAAGGAGAGAGGGATAAGAAACTTAGAAAGATGAAGAGAAGAAAGACAGAAACACAGGATGACTTCAGGAGGACCTGGATCAAAACCCACCGGCCCCTTCTGCCTCTTCTAAAGGGCTTTTTATAACAATGCCAAGGGGCGGGCAAAAGACCTCCCCCTCGCTAGATCAAAGCACACTGCACGGCCAAATGCAGACCCTTCCAAACACCTGGTAACCACCATGCCCGTGGTCAAGTCATCTCCTTATGCAGCCCTGCTGGGGAAAGCAAGCTCAGATTCTCAGACCCTGAGTAAGTTCTCACTAGGAAACCTCTGTGGGTCTCTACACTATGGGGATTAATTTATTCTCTTGTTATCATTAAAAGGCATAATTGCAAAGTTGGGTAATAGCGTTTATTCCTGCCACCGAGAGTGTAACGTGCGTTAGCTTGATTGTCGCCTTAACTAGAAAGTATGAACTAGGCTGGAAGAGCAGCTGTGAGAGAGAGAGAGAGAGAGAGAGAGAGAGAGAGAGAGAGAGAGAGAGAGAGAGAGAGAGAGAGAGAGAGAGAGAAGAGCAGCTGTGAGAGAGAGAGAGAGAGAGAGAGAGAGAGAGAGAGAGAGAGAGAGAGAGAGAGAGAGAGAGAGAGAGAGAGAGAGAGAGAGAGAGAGAGAGAGGAGAGAGAGAGAGAGAGAGAGAGAGAGAGAGAGAGAGAGAGAGAGAGAGAGAGTGTGTGTGTGTGTGTGTGTGTGTGTGTGTGTGTGTGTGTGTGTGTGTGTGTGTGTGTGTGTGTGTGTGTGTGTGTGTGTGTGTCTCTCTCGGAGGCGTGGGGGTGCTGGATGGGATGTGAGGGGAAGGAGAAAGCCGATGGCACAGGTTCTGTTTCTGCCGCCTGGCCACCCTGAGGTGAGCTGCTCTGTCTGTCCGGTCCTGGCCGCCTCCACCCCCACACCCTTGAAATCTTTCCCTCAGGCACTTGTTACAGCAACACAGAAGTCATCTTTAAATGTAATGTTTGTATTAACGTTTAGAGGTTTCATTCAGGCACAGGTTGTATTTTGACCGTAATCACCGCTCCCTCCCACGCTCTTTCCTAGCTCCTCCCAGATCTGCCCCCCACCTCTCACCACTTCCCAGCCTCTTGTCCTTTTTTTTAATCTACCAAGTCCAGCTTGTGTACCCCGTGTAGTCTCTGGTCTGCGGCCACCCACTGGAGCGTGGTCAGCCTGCCACCCGTAAAGAAAACTAACTCTTCCTCAGAAGCCGTCAGCGTCAGGAGCTCCTCAGTGATGGGTGCTCGCGAGCCCCTACCCCCGCCATGCTGGAATGTTAACTGGCTTGATCTCCTGCCGGTCTCAGCGAGGCAACCACAGCTGCTGTGAGTTCAGGAGTACGCTGATCCTGTTCGGTCCTGATTCTCCCTGACCTCTGGCTCTTACAGTCCCTTACAGGAAAGTCTGAACACACAGTCCTACTCTGGCATTATACATAGAGTTTCACTTTTTTTGCCCAGTTCTGGAGCTTGAACCCAGGGTCTTGTACCTAGCAGGCCAATGCTCTACAAACTAAGCTGTATCCCCACTCCTAGCTTTTTACTGTTTGGGTCTCTGCCCAGCCCTTCAGTTCAATTTCTGGTTTTGAATGAAGCAAGTAGAACGCACACTCGGTTTGGAAATCACTGTTGCCCTCTACTTTCTTGCTTTAATTCATTTTCTTGCTTGCTGAACTGGAATTCTCTGAACAGTGGAATAAACTTAACTTTTAAAAATCTGGGGGCTGCAGAGATAGCTCAGTGATGAAGGGTACTCACTGTTCTCACAGACAACTGGAGTTTAGTTTCCAGCATACATCAAGTGAGTCTCAACCACCTACAACTCCAGCTCCAGGAGATCAGACGCCCTCTTATGCCATCCACCGTTACCTGTATGTGATGTGTGTGCATACACAGGCACAGAAATAAAAATAAATTTAGCTGCTCTTCCAGAGGACCAGGATGTGATTCCCAACTGTGCATGGCAGGGCATATGCACCTAGAGCCTGTGGAGACCAGAAGAGGGAGTGGGATCCCCCATATGCTGGCTAGTTTTATGTCAACTTTACAGAAGCTAAAGTCATTTTGGAAGAGCGACCCTCAATTGAGAAAATGCCCCCACCAGATTCTATGGGGAAAACAGACTCACTGATACAGGATAAGGTAAATCCAGTTGCAGAGTCCTTGGAAAGCTCGGGACCCATCACACGTTGTTTGATGCTGATCCTGTCTTCACCGCCCAAGAGCAGATTACCCTTTCTCCTCCCTTAAAAGAGAGGTCTTAAAAGAAGTCACGGAGGCAGATAAGAAGCACTGCCTCTATCAGGAGGGATAGCCCAAGGTCATGGGCGAATCAAATTCCCACTGCACTTCCCCCTTTTGTCTAAAGAAGGTTCTCAACCTAATACAAAACTATGTACAATAAGAACGATTATCAAGTATTGTCCAGTAGAAAGAAAGAGTAATAACATAAACAAAAATGGAACTACAACCAACAAGAACATCAAGCAAGAAACATAATAAATGTCCAGACTATAGGTAAATGGCAAATTACAGAGATTACTCCAATAGATGTTCCATCCTGAAGAATCTAAATCTAGTACTTGATATGATCTTAGCTAAGATATGAGAGGATTCTATTGTAGGAGACCAGCCCCCATCTTTTCCAGGATTCCTATGAGGAGAAGAGAGGAATAAGGAACTTATAGACAGAATGATAGGCCTAGCCGAAAGGAAAAAGAAAGAAACACAGGATAGCTTCAGAAGAACCTGGGTCAATACCCAACGGCCCAGAACTTTATTCAAAAGGGTTTTTTATAACAATGCCAAGGGGTGAGGCAAAAGACCTCCCCCTGCTAGATACAGCCAATGTATACCCTTCCAAACACCTGGTACCCAGGCCTGTGGTCCAATCATCCTCTTATGCAGTCCTGCTGGGTAAAACAAGCTCAGATCTCACTAGGAAACCTCTGTGGGCTCCCACATCTTCAACCCCATCAAAGACCTGAGAAGAAAAATATTACTTGAGTAAACAGGAAGTGCAAGCAAGCAACTTCTGAAAAAAAAAAATGTAAGAAAAGACAGAGACAGCTGGCTGCCTGGACAGTCACTCAATATTTCTCTTCAATGCTGGGACATCCACTTTTGGCTATAGGCTTAGAATATCTGGCAGACCATTTTCAGAAGCAAGATATTTTGAAAGACTGTCTTACCCTGTCTTAACAAGGTTCAGGAGTCGCTTTTCCTTGTGTCCTGCTCATCCAGAATGGACAGCATGCTTACTATCAGCAGCTGAGGCAAGGGCAATTCTTTGCCCAACAGGCCATTTTTTTGCCAAGAAGAAGACAAACTCCATATGGAGTGTCTTCAATGCCCAACATCCTCTCAGGAGTAGATCGGTGCTGCCAGGAGCAATCACGTCTCATGTCAACAGAATTCTAAGTTATTCATTTAAATGCCATATTCTCTAGGTCTATGAAGTCCATCCGACTGATAAGTTTTTTTGCACCCTGATAGGTCTCTGCCCAAACAGCAATCCAAATCAGACCTAATCAGGAAAAGCCCAGGTTTAATGGGTAAAGTGTTCCCTGGTGATTCCCCAGCCCCTCACAGAGGAGACCGGGATGAGAGACAGGAAGAACCATGTGTCTGTTTTCTGGGATGCAGCTTATATACCCTGTGGGAGTGGTCTTGCATCCCTCTGGGGGAAGAGCTGTGTTTGGCAGGCTTTGAAGGGGCAGGTTTAGGGAAAGAGATGGGGAAAGGGAGTTGAGGTGGATCTTCCACCAGAACATTCCAGACTCTTTGGGTATAGGGATACCAGGGTGCCAGGGGTTGAGATGGAGCTCCCACGCAAACACCGACATGTATTTCTGTATATCTAGAAAATCTAACTAACATGACTATAAATATGACAAGCATGAGTGACCTGTAATTCTTATCAACCTAAATAACTTAAAGACTAAGTCTTCACATTATAAAAATAAACTATCTGTAAACATGTATAGTATAGGGACAATGACCTTGAAGTTGTGACAATATACAAATATATCTTTGTATATTTTTATACAGAGGTAGAAATGTATAGTGCAATATGACAACAATATCCTTAATATGTATCAATATACAAAATATCCTAAACAGAGGTAGAATACTTATACAGTATGACAAATATAATTTTACATTTGTATCATACAGAATATCTCAGACTGGAGTAGGAACATATGTACCATATGACAAATATAGTTTTATATTTGTATCAATATACAAATTATCTTAAACAGAAATAGAAAAATAATTTTACATTTGTATCAATATACAAGAATCTATATCAATGCAAATTATCTTAAGCTGAGAGTTACTGATTAAGTTTATAAGTAGATACAGTAATCTACCTTATTATCCTGTCCTATCTATTCCCTTTTTTTCTTTTCCAAAAGAGAATCCTGAATCTAAATGTTATTGTTCCACCCCCAACCCTATTACAACTTATAACCAACCCTTAACAGATGACAATTATCCATAACCCTGAGAAAACAAAACCTTTTTTGGGTGGGGGCAGCATTTTCTTAAAAGTGATTCCTGCTGTCTAGGGGGTGACAGTTTCTCTGTAAGAAAACTAAAACAATGGTTAAGTCTCATAAGGACTAGCCAGTATCAGAGTAATGGGTAAAGCTTATCTGAAGTTCTGGCTAGAGATGTAAGCTGATGGATTATCTTAGTTAGCCACCTTGGAACTGTCCTGAACAGTTTGTAGTCAGAGCTGATCTTTGAGTGATGTTTATAGGTTCAATGGCATCATTATGAACCAGGTAGAATTTGTTGTTGTGGGGCCCCATCTTACTTCTGGAAACTTCAGAGATCACTGTTAGGAAAATTAATTGTTCACTGTGGAA